TTATTGTCGCGTCGAACTTTGAAATGTCATTAAAAATTTAAATTATGGATTTTTCGTTTCAACACAGCCATATTTATTGTGTACTTGCCACATATGTTGCTTAGCAAATGTGTTGCACCTATCATTGGACACAAATAATTTAAAATAATATCAATATTCAAGGATTAAAGTTTCTGTAAGATTTTTTGACTTCTAAGTTCAAATTAAATTGCTTCGGCAAAGCACTTTTTCAACGTATGGAAGTCTTGCGAATTCTCTCTCTCTCTCTTTGTCTAACAATTCTAAATTCTCTCTTGATGTATAATATATCTTTCTCAGCTCTGCCTCTGCCTCTGCCTTCATAAAATTGAGGATGATTGAAATTATTCTTTATCAAAAAAAAAAATATAAAAAAAATTAAGTTTTATAGTACGCCTACATGCCACCATGCTTCACTCTGTGCTTAGCCTAAATAAACAGTGTAATGTATTATATACATATATTTTCCACGTGTTAAATACCTACCAACTTTCCATTGCATCCATGTCATACCGAGGAAATTTAATTATCCGTTAATCAACAACAAGCAAGGGCAAAAAATTTTACTACAAAAGCAACATTCACACAGGTAGCATTGTAAATTTATGGTTGTTACATAGAATAGATAAAAGTTGCCCCAAACATTCATCATTTCATTAACTCGATTGACAAAGCTACACCTTAATAACGAAGCAACAGTGTATATTGGAGCTTTTTGAATAGCAATCTGATCAGAAATCATTTCAACATTCATACAAAAATTCGAAAAATATATAAAAATATTATAAGTTATAGAAACGATGTCACAGAAGTGTTTGAAGGCACCGCTTTTGTACTTTTTAACGTTTCCCTCGACCAAATGAATTTGAGCTTTTGACAAATTGCGTGCGAACTAACTAGAACGAGGCTTTTTACAGTGAAATGTTGATGCAATATTAAGTGTATACTGGTCTCACTTATGCCCACAGTTGTGGGTCCATCTCACGTTAGGTCACATGACGATATAGCGATATCAGTTTGCGCACAGCATCAGTGGTTTCCGGGACGGAGTTTTGACGACCTTCTGAAATTTGTCTTTGAGCGATAAACACTGGACCACGATGCAGCTCGTCTATAAAATCTTAATTAAATTCATCGATATATTGTTGCTGCGTTAGGCCGTGACGAAGGATGTAAAGCATAATCAGATCAAATGATCCACGCGATTTCTTTCCATTTTTTGCCGAGATGAACATTTTAAGTTACTGTAAACAACACAAATAGCCTTCGTACGTCAGAACACACTGAGCTGGTATAACATTAAAAATATCAAAATTTACGTTATTGTTGTGCGTTGCCAGATTGCAATACTAGTGTTGCCAAATGCCGTTATAAGAAAGGCAACTTTAGATTATTCTTTCAGTAAAAATTTCCATTAAATGTTCAAATTTAAAATATTGAGAAGTAAAATTTTTTAAAGTAATTTTTTTTTGGCAATAGATGTCGATAGTGACTCTTTTCATACTTTTAAAACATTTTTTGTAATTTTTTGGTGCTTTATGTGTGAAGTAAATATATATATTTTTTTAAGTGTATGGCAACCCTATAATAAAGTCAATAATAATTTTAAATAGTTAGTTTGCATGGCAGCTATTTTATTTAGTCGCTCGATCTGAGAAATTTTTACAGAGACTATTTGTGGATATATTTGGTCCAATGAAAAAGTTGTCCATATAAGGACAAGGTTTTGATTGATCAGCTTGTAAGACGGCTTATACCTCAGTAGTTCAATAGCGGTGGTTCCAACAATTACTTGGCTACTTGACGTCTGCAAAATTTCAGTTTTACTACATTTGGATTAAGAGGCAGGTTTGCGTATATACTTGTACAAACATGCGAACGGTTTATTATTTAATTAAATTAAATTTTAGTTTATTCAATTTTATTTTATTAAAATACAAGTTT